CAATTATGTAAGCCATTCGCGCAAGACCCCGTTTTCGGGCTAATTCTGCCGCCTTGCCGGACTCCGGCGTGCGCCCAGCCCGCAGATCGGAATTCCACCTCGAGCGACGTAGATCAGGGGGGTCCGCGGTAGGAAGACAGTTTCGATCCTTCCTTTCTTGTCTCGAATTCGCCAGTCGTCGCGGAGTGCGGTGTTCACGACGGCTGCAGCGCGGAGCGCGCACGGCGCGGGGCGTTGCGTCGCTGGACCAGGGCTGCCTGTCCGCCGGGTGCGAGGCGCGCGTCGCATTGGGCAGGCAGTCCGTTCCGCGCTCCTCCGCATATCCGCATCGCCAGTGCCACCATCGCACCCTAACCCATCGCCGTTCCGCGTGTCGCCTCGTGCGCGTGGTCGTCGCGCCCCCCGCCATGGACACGCACATGACGTCCGTCCCCAGCAGCCACTCCCTCCTCATCGACTCCTCGCCCGCCCTCAATCCCTCCGCCCCGCTCCCCGCCTCGCAGCCTCCGCACATGCCGCCGCTCCCGCCGGCCGCGCTCCCCGTCCCCGCCGCAACCCACCCTGGGCAGCCCGTCGCTCCCACCGCGCCCCAGGGGCATGCGCTTCCCGCGTGCGCGCCCGAGGGCATGCTCGATTCCGCCACGGCAGCGGCGGCGGGGCAGCTTGGGGGTGCAGGGAGCGGCGGAGGGGAAGGATTGGGGGGTCAGAATGGCGCGCCCGTGGGTGCAGGCGGAGGGGTTGGCGGCGGCGCTTCCATGGGCGCAGTGGCGAGCCCCGCCGCCGCCAGCGCCGGCGGCGGCGCAGGCGGGCCATCGTCGGCAACCACGACGCCCACGCTCTCAGGCAGCGCCGCCCCTGCAGCTTCCGGCGCCTCCGCTGGCGGGGCGGCGGCGTCGTCGGTGTCGCCGTGCGGCGCGTGCAAGTTCCTGCGGCGCAAGTGCACGAGCACGTGCATCTTCGCCGCGTACTTCTCGCCCGATCAGAGCCTGCGCTTCGCCAACGTGCACCGGATATTCGGCGCCAGCAACGTGGGCAAGCTGCTGCAGGAGCTGCCGCCGCCCAGCCGCGAGGACGCCGTGAACAGCCTGTCGTACGAGGCGGAGGCGCGCATCAGCGACCCCGTGTACGGCTGCGTCGGCGCGCTCTTCGCGCTGCAGCAACAGGTAAGCCGCCTCGCTCGCTCGGAAACCCGCATAAATTCCCCCACCCGCCGTGATCATTGCGTCACGCCGATTTCGTGGCCGCCCGGCGCAAATCTGTCGGTGAATGCGGCGAACTTGCGCCGCTGTTATAGGGGACGGCACCGCTGGCAGGCAGGAGGGGGCGCGGAGAAAAGGTGGTCCTTTGACGAGAGACCTAATTTCGTCGACCCTTGCATTTCCACCGCTCCCGACCCTTGCGCGCATCTTTCCCCATAACCCCCTGCGTCGGCCCCTCGCCCCGCCAGGTGGTGCGCCTGCAGGCGGAGCTGGCCATGTCGCAGGCGGAGATCTCCCGCCTGCGCGCTCTGGCGGGAGGCTCCGCCGTCCTCACGCACTCGCAGGCGCAGGCACAAGCGCAGATTCAGGCGCAAGCGCAGGCGCAAGCGCAAGCGCATGCGCAGGCAGCAGCGGCGGCGGAGATGGCAGCGGCGGCGTCGTACTTGCCGGGCATGGCGGGGCTGGTGGGCGCGCAGCACCCCTCCATGCTGCCCGCCGCTGCCGCCTCTGGCGCGTTCGGCAGTGCGGGTGCAGGCGGGGGTGTGGGCGGGCAGGGGTACGGCGGCATCAAGAGAGAGATGGACAGCTGTGAGTGAAACACGGGGGAGAGCGCACCGGGCCCGTCACTCGCATGCTGTGCTGCCATTCTCTATTTCCCCACGCATTTTTATTCGGCCTCCTCGCCTCTCTCATCTTTGGTGTCACCTCCCTTGTCAAATGCCCTGGTAAGTATTCTCTTCACCCGCCCACCGCTGTGCTGCATGCCTGCTGGGCTCATCGTCCTCCCCACACGCGTGCAGCACCCCCTCTGCATCCCTGCCGCTTCACTCTGCCCATGTACTCATGGGCGGCAGCATGGAAGCGCCGCATACCACTGCGCCGCCATATGGCCCCATGTATGCTGCCAGCGCACACGCATGCACATTGATGGCTCCTGCACGCCTGCTGGAACCTTCATTCTCTCTCCCTCCCTCTCTCTTTCTCACAACACATACACACGCACACTCTCTCTCTCTCTCTCTCTCTCTCTCTGTCCCTCTCTCCCCCTCTGTCTCCCTCCCAACACCCCTGTTGAGGCTGCGCAGTCTCAGCAGCGCACCTACCAGCGCCAGGCATGGGACAGGGGCCAGCAGCAGCACCGGGCAACGGGATGGTGGGGGGGCCAGCAGGTGCGGGCGGCATGGGTATGGGCAGCCACGCGCCCCCCATGCCTGCCATGCGCACGGATGCGTCGGCGCCGTCCCCCCCCCTCACCATGATGATGGCGCCGCAAGCAGCAGCCGCCGCTGCCATGATGGCCACGGCGCCCTCCTCCCTCTACTCCATGCCCCCTCAAAGCCTTGCATCAGCCTCCATGCCAGGCCCGGGTGTGCCAGGCTCGGGCATGCCAGGTTCGGGTGTGCCAGGCTCGAACATGGCTGCAGCCCTGCAGTACCGACAAATGGGGCAAATGGAGAGCATGGGGAGTGGCATGGGTGGTGCAGGGGGGCCAGTGGCAGGAGGAGCAGGAGAACTACAGCCCAACACACATGACATGGCTGCTGCTGCTGCTGCGGCACACATGGGAGGCATGGGGGGAGCATTGGGAGGAAGCATGGCAATGGGGGGCATGGGAGGAGGGTCGATGGGGACACTTTACATGCAGCCCCAGTCACATATACAAATGGGCAGGGGGGGCATGGGTGCAGGCATGCCGAATGGGCCACTGGGCATGGGGCATGTGGGGGAGTATCCTGAAGGCGGGCAAGTGGCGGGCATGGGCGGCATGGAGGGGCCTGATGGGGGATAGGCACCTGTACAGTGAACAGAGCGATGAGTTGCGAGTGGTACAGGTTAACACCACAGGAAACCAGCAGGGTACAACGCGGATACGGTAGAGGTGGGAATGGTGGCGAGGGCACGGCACTGTTGCGTAAAGAGGTCCTTTATAGTAATGATGTCCAGGTTGGCCGTTTGGCCTTAGGACTTCTGTAACGATCACTCACTATATATGGTGTGTACTGCAAAGCATACCACAATTTTGTTTCATTTTTTTATTTCGGTGTAAATGATGTGCAAATTGCTCATGTAGGTGGATTGTGTGGGCTTGGCACAATAGAATACATGTTACGTCATACACAGTGTAGTTTGTTGCTGATACTGTGATCTCCCATAGAAAATACCATAGTTGGTTTCTGTTACAATCCTAAGAAGTACTTGCGGTATCCAGAGATCAGCTCAGGGTTGATCGCAGGTGATATTTGCAGCGGAAGTGTTGACCTCAGGCCAGAATGAATGTAATTGACTGAGATGATTACCGTATGGCCCCGGATATAAGCGCCGTCCGTTTAAAAGCGCCGGCGCTTCTATCTGGAGCATGCGCTTATAGCCGCGACTCGCCCCCCCTGTAAAACCCTGTTTTTTTATAAGCGCATGCATATTTTTATTTTACAATCCTGATTAAAACGGTAACGAATTTCGAATTTCAAGCGAGTCACCACCCATTTTCAATTTGTTTGACTTTCGAAGGCTTCATTTGTTGCGCGTCCAGTCAGGATGAGCTGGCTCGCAGGCAAAGTGACGTGCCAAATCTCTGTGCACAGCAGGCCCCCAGAAGTCAGAGTTTTTTGTCTGATTTGCTTGTTTTAGTCTGAGATTTCAGATTTTTTTTGGGGTGTACTCTGTAAAATTCAGATTTATTATTCTATCAACTCTGTGAAAATCAGAATTTTCTATAGGCTGACTCTGACGTTTCAGAGTTTTCCGGGAGTGTACTCTGATGAATTCAGAGTACAAACGAGTTCCGACTCTGAATGAATCTACCTGCGCGCCGACATCCAGAATTAGCTGTGGTACATACATTGTACCTGTACCGCCGCCCTGCGGCCCGATGTTTCCCTCGTACAGCTGGATGTTTCACCCGCCCTGCGGCGCGTTCTTTCCCTCGGTGTAAGCTCCAGCTCACACTCTCCCTGCGCACTGATTGGTGCGTTTGGCATCTTTTGTCCACCGTCACGAACTCCACTACCACCCCTGTACAAGATGCTGCAGCAGTTGCCACCCACGTAAACGTGATGGCAAGCAGACGGTCCTTTAGGCAGCATCGTGTACCACGATGCTGCAACATCCACACCACACACTGCAAGGATGCGCCTCGTCGTTGCCGTGCATGGTAGGCAACCACCCACACAACTCAATGATGGATGGCCCATCTTTGTAAAAGGCCTTCGTCTTGTGCTAGGGTTTCATCCTCACCCCCCAGCTTCAACTCACGGGCCCAAGCCAGTGCCCAGTTTTACCTCATCCATCCTCTCCTAGTTCCTGCTCGGCAGGCTCTTTCACAGCCCCGCCGCCATGGCGGTGCTGGACAATCCCGCCACTGGCGACGACGAAACTGATGAGCGGCCTGCCTTAACAGGCTTGGACTTCTTGCTTAGTACTCTAGATATCGATAAAGCAGCACGCGCCACGCCCGATACGATCCCCATGTCGAAAGCACCCGCGGCTCCAATTATCTCACTTTCTGGCGAGCATGTGGCAGAGACTTCTGCGGAACCAACCGTCGATTCACAGTCGCATATTCCGACTCAGACCACTGTGCGCACAGTCCGTCTCAAGCAGACGACCTTGACCTTCGGCAAACCAGCGTCGTCAACTGCAAACGGCAACAACGCTCCCGGCACATCTGACCGACCGCTACCTCGCCTCAACATCAATCTGGCCGAGCTCATCGAGGGAGTTTACGACGAAGCAGTTGACAAGTTTAAAAACCATTGGTCTACCCGTTTTCCGTGGCTCAGGATCACTAAAACCACTACCGGCATGCCTGCGTTCAAGTGTACCGTTTGTGCAGCTTATGCTGGCGATGCAGGAAAGTGCGGGAGGCGCGGAAAAGGCGCCACCGACCTGCAGACACAGTCCTTCCGTAAACACGCTGGCACGGCGAAGCACAAGCTGGCGGTTGAGAGACAGAGATCTGAAGAGGAGTGCGGTGGACGGCAGCCTCAGATCGACCACCATCGCGCCGCGGTTGACAGTGAGAAGATGCGGACAGTTGCCCTTCTGGACTCGTTGCTGTTCATCAGCAGGTCCGACGCGCCCATGGGGATGTGGGTCAAACTGGTGCGGTACTTGTCGGAGAAGGGCGTGCAAGGCTTCCTGAAGAGAGGGTACGGCACCTACTACACCACGTGAGTGCAACTGTCGTACGCCTATTTTTAAACACCTGCGTTTTATTAATGTTCTAATTACGTTGTTACTGACTATCGGTTCCATGTGCAGATACGGCTTCGGTGAGCTGACGCAAGCTACAGCTACATGGCTCCAGACAACGCAGCTGCAACATGTGCTATCGTCGCCCTTCGTCGGGATCTCGATTGACGAGAGCACGGATAGGTGCAGCGGGAAGCACATGATCCTGTTCATCACGTTCGTCCGGGACTTCAAGGTCGTCACGGAGTTCATGGCGCTTCTCACCGTGGAGAAGGCCGACGCCGCTTCTCTCCTGGGCGTCCTGCTATCACACCTGCTGGCGGTCGGGGTCGACCTGCAGCGCATTGCAGGGATCAGCACCGACGGCGCGAACGTCATGATGGGCAGCAAGAGCGGCCTCACCACACGCCTCCACGTGCGCATCCCGCACCTGGTGTCATCCCACTGCATCGCGCACAGGTATGCCTGTAGGTGCATATGGTTTTCAGTTTTTTAACGGTTACGAGTGACTAATGTTTCCCTTTTTGTATTTACAGGGAGGCACTGGCGGCTAAAACAGCCGCAGAGAAGATTCCCGCCTTCAACGTTATTGACACGGTGATCCGCACCGTGGCTGAGCATCTCGGTCGTAGTGGGCCATGGCATCAGCGGTTCATGGGGCTGCAGGAAGTCTTCACCTCCACCTCACTGGAGCTGCAAGGGATCCATGCGGTCCGTTGGCTTTCGCGGGGCGACGCGGTGCTCAGGCTCGTCGCCGTCCTTCCGGCTCTCATCGTGATGTTGAAGGAGTGGGACGCGACGCTCTATGCGCTGGTGACGAGCTACAGGTTTCATTTCTTGCTGTTTTTCATTGCAGATGTGCTTGAGCAGCTGAACATCCTCAACAGGGCCTTCCAGCACAAGGAGGTAAGCTCCTGAGTCATGTTTAGTGTTTGTGTTTATGCATGCTTAGTGTGTTCTTACCTTCAGTCACTAACCACCTTTCCACGTGCTTCTTTCCAGCTTGATTATGCCAGCGTGCATGCGCAGATCAAACGTACAACATCCCACATCGAGAGCCGCTACGTCGACTGCGGAGACGACTTCGGTGGCGGTGTTAGCGAGCTGCTGTCCCCCTTCATCGCGCGCCATGGGCCTGGTGGAAACCGGGAGGTGAAGGTTGAAGGGATTGATTCGGACGGCCGACCAGCACGCTTCAAATTCGTGCTGCACGAGGACGAGCTGGAGGAGTTCGAAGGGCCCGGCACACACGATGGCTGCGTGGAGGTGTGCACGGAGTTCGCCGAGGTGATCGTGCACCAACTGGAGCACCGGCTTGGCGACCTGAACGGGATGTCCGGCGCAAGGCTCTTCACCCCCGACGAGTACCCGCTGGAGCGAGGAGAGAGGAACCACATGTGCCTCGAGTGGCTGCAGTCGCTAGTCACGCTGTTTAAGGCCGACCTGACCGATGAGATCCTGCCAGGTAAGCCATTTAGGAGGTTGCTTTAAATATCAGGCTATCCCGATGCTTCGCTTGTATTGCATGTGAGGCTTCAAAGAGTGTTTGAATTTGGGTTCTGAGCTTGCTCCTCCTGTTTTACTACCCATCCCGTCAGGAATTGACAAGCGCCGCGCAGAGAAGGAGCTGCGCATGTTCACTTCGGTGCTTGCAGCATCTACCAAGGGCGAGCGCAGTTTTCACGCGGGCCTCACTGCCATGCTCAAGACTCCCGACTGGCGGGATAACTACCCCAACTTGGTGCTCCTGTGGGTGGCGGTCACTGTACTGCCACTGAGCACCGTGGAGTGCGAGCGGGGGTTTTCCCGCCAGAACATAATTAAGTCGTGGAAGAGGGGCGCGCTTAAGGATGCTCGCCTGGGGGACCTGATGTGCATGAGCTTGATGGATTACGCCCCCGACTGGGATGAGATTGTGACCGTGTGGAGGAGTTACAAGAAGCGCAAGCCCCAGAGCAACGCTCCACTCCCGCCTGCAGGAAAGCAACACAACAGGGGCAGGGAGGCAGATGAAGAGATGGAAGTAGTTGACCTAGAAGAAGAGCAGGATGCAGTTGACAGCGATGATGATGATGGATTTAACGAGTAGGAGTCTAGGAGAGGAGGATTACTAGGTTGTTGTAGTGCTAGGATGCATGTATAGCAAAGCAAGTAGCATTTATGAATGTAGGCTTTTGCAATGTACGTCAAATAGTTCAAACAAGTCCAATAGTTGAGCAAGACAGCTAGGAGGACAATCAGACTTGTTATAGGCGGTGATTCTGAATCTTTCAGACTTTTTTTTTAAGACACTCTGAACTTTCAGCCTTTTTTTTTTGGCAACTCTGTCATTTTCAGACTAAAACTGTGAGAGAGTCTGACCAATCAGACAGGCTAAAAACGAATCTGAGGGCCTGGTGCACAGTCAGGAAATCGCCCTCGCGCGATTCTGATTCAAGACGCTGTAAAAGTTCGATTCGATTGAACTTACGAGACTGAAATGCACAATTTGGTGCGTTGAATTTGTATTTCTGTATTTGTTATTATATAAGCGCCGGCGCTTATGGCCGATACTCAATTACAAGCGCCCCCCTTGAAAAAACTGATTTTATTATAAGCGCATATGCGCTACTATCCGGGGTAATACGGTACGGTACAGCAGATGCATACATACCGGTAGGTAAATAGAAAATGCGAAGGAATGCGAAACAACCTAGCTAGCCATGTACTCTAAGGGGTACATTCCCTTATTGCAGCGAAGTTCAAACCGTGCGGCGTGGGAACCCGTTTCTAACCTGTTTCCGCCAATTTCACTTCGAATGTTTCTACCTGCATTGGTCTCAATCTGACGGTTGCTGGCAGGCCCTCATATTCGTTTTTGGGCTGTCCGATTCGTCAGACATGGTACACTGATTGTGTCTGATAAATCAGAGTTGGTACAAAAAAAAACTGAAAAATCAGAGTCCTAAGTTAAAAAATTATGAATATTCAGAGTCTCCACTAGTATTATGTCTGATTGTAATTTTCGTTCTGGAGGACCGTCTGTTGGCCTTTGTTAAACCACTCTAGTTAACAGCAAGCAACGAGTGCCTGCCTACTACATACATACATACTTACTAACTATTATAACATACTAATACCATCCTATCTAGGCTACTCATTGAATCCATCATCACTATCACATGCATCATCATCTCCTAGGTCGACTACTACCATCTCCTCATCCACAGGCTCCTTGCCCCGCCTGCTCTGTCGCATCCCTCCAGTAATAGGAGCGTTGATGTGGGGCTTGCGCTTCTTGTAGCTCCTCCAGATCCCCACAATCTCTTTCCGGTTCGGCTCATACTGCATGAGGCTCATGCACATGAGGTCTCCAAACCTCGCGTCCTTCAACGACCCTCGCTGCCACGACTTGATAATGTTCTGCCATGAGAACCCTCTCTCGCACTCCACGGTGCTCAGCGGCAGAACAGCTACCGCCACCCACAATCGCACCAGGTTGGGGTAGTTGTCGCGCCAGTCAGGCGTCTTCAGCATAGAGGTGAGTCCCGCGTGGAAGCTTCGCTCGTTCTTGTTGGATGCTGCAACCACCGAGGTGAACATGCACAGCTCCTTCACCGCACATCGCTTGTTGATTCCTGGCGGGGGAGGAAACGTAAAGAGACTAGAATAAGGATTTAAGAGCACTGCGTTACATCACATACGAGGATACAACGATGTAGCGGCTCAATGATAATGAAAAGAAAGCACATTCAACGGTGAGGGAATTCCGTGCTTACCTGGCAGAATTTCCTCACACATGTCGGCCTTGAACAATGTGACCAGAGACTCCAGCCACTGGAGGCATCTCACATTCCTCTCTCCCGGCCACTCATTTGGGGTGTACAGCTTCGCCCCTGACATTCCCTCCAGGTCGCCAAGCCGCGAAACCAACTCGTGGACGATCTTCTCCGCGAACTCGGTGCAGGCGTCCGCGCAGCCATCATGATTCGCGGGACCCTCACACTCCTCCAGGTCGTCCTCATGCAGCTTGAAGGTGAAGCGTGTGGGGCGCCCGTCGGACTCAACACCCTCGCCAGTCACCTCCCTGTTTCCTCCAGGCCCATGACGCGCGAGGAAAGGAGACAACCTCTTGCTCACGCCGCCACCGAAGTCATCGCCGCAGTCGACATAGCGGCTCTCGATGTGGGGGGTTGTGCGTTTTATATGCGCATGGACACTGGCATAATCCAGCTGATGACAAGGAAAGAAATGAAAGGAGGGGTGTTAGTCACGGTCATTGAACATTGCAGAGGCAACGGTACGTGTATGGAATGGAAGACAACATAAACCAGCTCACCTCATTGTGCTGGAAAGCCCGGCTGAGGATGTTTAACTGCTCCAGCACGTCAGCAATGAAGAACAGAAGGAAATGAAACTTGTAGCTTGTCACGAGCGCATACAGGTTTGCATCCCACTCCTTCAGCATCGCGATCAGAGCAGGCAGCTCGGCGATAAGCCTCAGCACGGCATTGCCCCGCGAGAGCCAGCGAACTGCATGAATCGCTTGCAGTTGCAGGCTTGTTGACGTGAAGATCTCTTACAGGCCCATGAACCACTGGTGCCACGGCCCGGACCTGCCGAGATGCTCAGCCACGGTTTGAATCACCGAGTCGATGATGCCGAAGGCTGGTATCTTCTCAGCGGCATGCCTGGCAGCCAGTGCCTCCCTGTACAACAAAAAAGAACAACGGTGTTAGAATCAGGCAGAATAAGAACAACACAAGTTAGTCGATTAGCTACACGATTCGATATACCTGTGCGTGATGCAGTGCAACGACACCAAGTGGAGGATGCGCAGTCGGAGGCGTGTCACCAGGCCCCATCATGACGTTGACACAATCAGTGCTGATGCCCGAGATCCACCTCAGGTCGACGCCGACTGCCTGCAGGTGCGACAGAAGTAGACTTAGCAGCGAGGTGGCGTCCGCCTTATCCACTGTGATAAGCTGCATGAACTCCGTCACCAGCTTGCAGTTGCGGATGAAGGTGACGTAGAGGATTAGGTGCTTCCCACTGCACCGATCCGTGCTCTCATCGAGGGAGATGCCGATGACGGGACTTGAGCATGCTCCAGCTGGGTTGTTTGAAGCCACGTTGCAGTCGACTGCGTTAACTCCCCGAAACCCTACGGCACGGTTTTTCCCACGTAAACACCAGCGCACACCTTCTTTGTGTGCTTATTGGTCCTTTTGGTAGCATTTCTAGCCAACAAGGACATTACGAGTACCACGTTGCCCCATTTTGCAACCATGAAACAGTGCAGACAGCGGTGCATGGCAGTAGCGCCTCGTCGTTGCCGTGCATGCTAGGCAGGTAACCACAGCCCTTTCATTGATGGCCCGTGGAGGGGTAAAGGGCCTTGTGTTTTGAGCTAGGGTTTCATCCCACCCCGTGCTTCAACACACTGTCAACCACCACCTCCCTAGTTCCTGCTCGGCAGCCTTTCTCAGACCCCGCGATGGCTTTCCAGGCCGATGCCGCCACAGGCGACGAGGATGATGACAGTCCTCATGTCAGAACGGGGTTAGATTTTTTGCTTAGCTCGCTAGCACTCGAGAAGGCGGCTCGCGCCAGTCCTGATACAATCCCCACACCGAAAGAACCAACACCAGCAGTCTCATCTCCAACTGATACTGTGATTGTGACGGATGAAGAACCTACTGTTGGTTCAGCCCCGGATCATGTCAGTCAGCCCACCGCCGCCACCAAAGCGCGCAACGTCCGACTCAAGCATGCTACATTGAGCTTTGCGAAGGCGTCTGCGACGACAGTGGTTGACAACAATGAGGCTGGCCCATCTGAACGGCCGCGTCCACGACTAGACATCAATTTAGCTCAATTCATTGATGATGTGTATGAGGATGCACATGATAAGTTCGCTACGCAGTGGCGTGGTCGTTTTTCCTGGCTTGTCCTAACAAAAACCTCTACTGGGCTGCCTGCGTTTAAGTGCAGTGTTTGTCAGGCCCATGTTGGCGACATAGGCAAGTGCGGGAGGCGCGGGAAAGGTGCCACAGACGTGCAGACACATTCCTTCCGGAAGCACGCCGGCACTAACAAGCACAAGCTAGCGATGTCTAAGTTCACCACGTTAGTGGAGGGCATGACGAGGCAGCCTCTGATCGACCAACTTCGAGTCACTGTCGACGAGGAGAAGCTGCGCGGCTGACGACAAGGCAACCATCTCCTGCTTCAAGGAGTTCCACGAAATTGGACCCGTTGGCTCGAGGCGGAATACAAACCCTGTTCGTGACCGTCAATTGGCAGGGTCAGCGGCGTGATCTGAGTCCAAGTAGCCGGTAAGGTTGAAGGATGGTGTTGTCAGCGTGGAGTACGAGAGCCCGGTGTCAGGTGTGGAGATGAAGTACTGCAGGGCTCGCTCCATGTCCAGCTGGTTCTTTGCCACCGGCTTGCGTGATTACTGTGCCAGCTGGTTGGCGATGTACGAAAGGTCGGGTCGGCAGGTGACA